ATAGAGTTAAGATTAGATATTTATTATATTTTTAAGTAAAATTAATAATTTAATCACCTCTTCTTAGTTTTGCTGAGGTAGTTAAATATATCTTATAGCAGTTTTGTTTTTGAAAAGGATGAGACCCATGGAGTGGTTCAAGAAACCCCCATTCCTCCTGTGTGACGTGTTTATCAAGGTTCTTATGTCAATGATGGTGTGGCAGGTTTCTTGTTTCCCTTTCGGGTTAAGTTTTGTGGTGATTGTGATATTTTTTGCTTTTAGGATTAGGGTTACGTGTGTTTTGGGCTTAAGCCAGTGTAGGATTGGACATGTACCTCACACCTGCAAGGAGATGGAATTCCCATGACTATAACTTACCATTGACAATTTGAATATGGGGAAGTACTTTTCTGGTTGATTCATACGATTTGTGATGGTTGTGTTGTCTTTTGCTTTCAAGATTAGAGTTTTATGAGTTTTGAGCTTCGGCCTTTCTCAACTTTTCGTTTCGTGGATTTATGTTGATCTAACATAATCTTGTTTCTAGCCAAGGAAAAAAAAAAATCTATCACCAGCGTCAGATCTTGGGATGATCAGTGGCACACCCTATTGTTCTCAACTTCTCATAACGTATGAATCAACTAGAAAAATAATCCCTCCTATTTAAATTGTCAATGTAAGCTACTCTAATGGGAATGTCACCTCCCTGTAGGTGTGAAGTAGAGGTCCAAACCCTCCATTGGAATATAAGTGTGAGTTACAAATAATAATTGATTACTTTAATAAAAATGCTGCAGCAAAGAATATGAATTGAGTTATATTGATTAGCCAAAATAACTGATCATAAGAGTCGGACTAGAAAAAAAATTAATTCAAATAAAAATAAATTTTTTTTGACTCGGACAAGATAACTTATGAACTATATGAGTCAATCTTAATAGGTTTGGATTGACCTATTTAATTCATATTATTTTTAAAAAATAAAAAAAGAAAAATATAATAGATTCAAGACTTTTAATAAAGTGATAGGCATGACTTGGCTGGTTTAATTCATATATTTTATATAAACATTATGAGTTAATATTTTTAATATATTTAGAATAAATCATGGCATGAAGGAATATCATATTGGAACTCATTGTCATTTCATTTACATGTATTATTTTAAAAATTTATAAAAATAAATTAAAAAAGAGTTGGTAGATTAATCCATTTAATCTTTCAACCCTTAAAGGTTGGGTTAGGTTGATATTTTTTTCAATCCATATAAAAATGAGTTGAATCAAATCCAACCCAACTTATATTTTTCCTAATCCATATAACCTATCATTTTAAAAAAAAAACTCAATTATAAGAATTTGTGTCAATATTTCTTTTATAATGTAGAGCTTGGCGTTGACTACTCCCATTCAAAAGTTTCACACGCCCATTGCTGCACATGTCAAACTGGGCCGATCTACCCGATGGACCTGTTTAAGCTATTAATTGAGCCTTCCTAGGGATTTTTTTGGGCCGTTTGGCCTTGGACAGACAAGCTGTGGACTGACCCACGTAATAAAGTTAACTTTAATAAAATTCAGCATGGTTGTGCGCCAGGTGCCCCGTCCTTTTGGTATATCTAATGAAAGTTGGAGTGCATTACAATCAATAAAAATACTTACTCGGATCTAATGAAAAGGGTTAGTCACTCACAACATAACGAATCAAGATTTAAATCCCCATTAAGTGTTCATATTTAATTCCCAACAATGTCTTAAACATAATTGCCTCCAATAAAAAATATATATGAGAAACAAACCAAAAAAAATATGCTTGCCGAGAAACCCATGAAATGAAGTGAATATTCATCACCATTCATCAATCAGTCCATGACTTTTCCAAATAAAATATCAGGTTGGTTTGGCTGATTCTTGCTCAAATTCAAGGTGGACGCCAAACTGAACATTTGAACACCCCTAGTTGCCAGCAATTGCATTTGAAGTGTTTGATATTAACTAGAATTAGCTTATGTACATACAAAAAGTCATAAATAAGTTGAATCACTTCATTCCTAACCTGTGAGTATGACTTCGTATATTTCTAATATTTTATGTTGACAATTTTTAGTTTTCCTTGATAATTTTGAATGCTAGTTTTATTTAGATTTACCTTTCACAGTATAATTCTCATGTCGTCAACCAAAACAAGTTCATAATAGGACCAACGTTACTCATAAAACGACTACATCTTCAAGTTTTTGCTGGAAATGAGGTTTAAGATTGACAGACAGACCAAGGAAAGGAGCGGGAATTCAGTGAGGTTTGGAACTCGAAGTCCCACATCGTGGAGTGGAAAGTGCAGAGAAGCATGAAGCTAATATAAAAGCACAACGGAATAACAATACAAGGCATACCTTTCTCGGCCTTTTGGCTAAGATCAAGTGTAGTGTCTGTTCTTATCAGTTTAATATCTGATACGTGGGCTATAAGTCCACATGATATTAAATTAATTTTTTCAGGGGGAGTGCCCACAACAATAGCTTGCTATTAGGGCCCTCAAGTGTCGCCCGTGCTTTGCACTACTGCGTGGGCCTGGCGCACCCCACCATTCCAAGTTTAAGGTTTTTGGTTTTTTCCTTGGGTGATAAAATCAAGATGGAAGTTTTTCTGTCATTTTTTGCCAGAATAGCTGAAGTATTGATAGAATGCATGTTATATGTTTTAATATTGAGAATATGTAATAAGTAGAATTTGAATTCTTTCTATACCCTCCCACCATATGCAATCCCAGATTAACAGTACAAAATTGCTAATTATGATATTAAAATAAGTATATTACATCATTAAATGAAATGAATAATTAAATAGATAATGTCATTAAAATGAAATGAATTACTAAATATTGGATGTGAAGAGATGCATCGGAAAAATAGTATGAAGAGAGATCCAGATCTCCAATACATGTCATGAAGCATGTATACCATTTAAAATACGGAACGAATTCGGGTACATTATGTTATTGACTTATTTCAACGTAAGTGTTGGTGAAAGCTGGCTAGTTACCCGAGTCTCTGCCAAGTTTATGATTGAGAAACTCTTATACATTTGTCCAAAAATCAAGGTAGCGGAACAGCTTTTGGATAAGTAGAACGATAAAATAAAATGACCGTGGCTACTAAATATTTATAATTTATATTCATATGAGTAATTAAAAATCATAAAATTAAAGTACGCATCCATCCGAACCTTAAAAATAAAAAAAAAGGCACAATTGAAATTTTAACATTTTAAAAAAAATAGTGGCAAAAAAAATGTAATCCTAATGTTTTTAAAAATCTGACAACGTCAGCTGAATAACGGTGTCAATTTTGTCTAAGCAGGCCCGCACGCTGATATCACGTGTGCAGGAAAATTTTGATACATGCCACGTGTGCCATCGTTCTCCGTCTTCCTTATTCTCCCCCACCCCCCCAAAAAAATCCTCGCCGCATGCGTCTGTCATCCCCTCTGAATCAGGTCCTGGCCGTAGAGCCCCTCCTCGTCGCCGATACTGGTGCGAGCTCCAAGAGAAGCGAAGGAAAGAAAACGATCAGGTCATTGAAGGAAACGACGACGTTGAACACCAACTCAGGGAGAGAAGCGAAGCTCCGATATCTCGCGCTCAGGTGCAGTTTTCGCCTAAGCTTCTTCTTCCCCATTCACTTGCCGAGATCCGATTCACCGAGACCGTGAGATTACCTCTGTAAACCCTCCGTTTCCCTTTTTGCTGCCATGGTCATCGTCCCTTTTCACTTGCAGAGATCCGATGGGCCGAACTCTTTGGAACTCCAGCATCTTGTTGGATTTAAAATCAGACACTTTCATTCTTGCCCTTGGCCATAACAATGTGTTCTGCAGTAGCGATCTAGAAATTTGTAACCCATCTTCTCTATATTTTCAAGCGACTGAGCTTGCAGCAGTGATTTTGAGTTCTAAATTAGTTTATGAATATGTGAGCTTGTTCTTTGCTCTTTGAATTTTGAATATGCTCCTTAAGCTAGTGATTGATTGTTCTCTGTCTTTCTTTAAATTTTGAGTTTGTTCTGCAAACTGGTGACGGATTAAATTTCATTAAAAATCTCGACTAGAATCTATTGTGATTCATCAATTAGCATTCGAAAAGATGGGCGCTTTAAGTTTGATTAATTGATTGCGTTTCTCCATGTCAGTTTAGATCATGTACAGTTTTTTAAATGAGATTTCTAGATTTCTTGACATTGCGTCCTCAAGGTTGCGTTTTTTCCCTCTCCCTTGCAGAATAAGATTGAATCTGAGTTTTGGTTCCTCTTGAAAATTCGGGTTGCTGCTCATCAATTCCATGGAGGGATCACTGCCCTGCCATGGCAGGAGAAGTCGAAGAGCGAGGAGGAGGGGAATGGGCGAATGGCTCGGCGGATCTGATTTTTCCTTTTTCTTTCTATTTTTAATTTTAAAACTATGCCAGGTGGTAATGACACGTAAGCACAATAAGGTCAACTAGAACACGGTCAAATGTTTGGTTCTGTTAGTCCGCAACAAAATTGTACTACTTCTTGAGAACGGCATTATTATGTCATTTAAAAAGTTAGGATATCGATTTTGTCTTTTTTAAAAAATGTTTGGTGCAAATTTATATTTTAACCCAAATTAAAAATTATGAATATAAATAAAAATTATTGCCAAAACTTAACTTCTTTTTAGCCAAACCAATACTTCTCTTTCTAATCTCTTGTGAATTTTTATCACCTCTAAGGTTTTACCTACATTGACTTTAATCATAAGTATCAGATTGTTATTTTCCTAAACAAAAGCTAGATACATTGGCAAATAAAACAAACGTTAGATATGATGAATTGAGATTTGAGATCGAGCAATTTCAGGCCGTGTATGATAATTGTGTTGAAGCTAGTAGTTCTCCCTCGTATATTTTTTTTTTTTCATTAACAATATTCGAACCTTCAAATCTAAACACCAGAAAATGTTTAAAAAAGATAATGCCTAAATATAAAACCACACTACCAATCAGCCAATCACCAGCTCGCAATCAATAATTAAAAAGAAGAAGAAGAAGCAAAGTTCAAGTTACAAATTACAATACACCCAGGCAGGTATATATTTTCTTCTGGCTAGCTCACCACCAAAATTACAAATTATAAACAGTTAAATCAAAAAACACACTTGAGGAAAAAAAAAAGAAAAAGACAACAAGTAATTTACCCAAACCAAAGGAGGCCTTTTACTTTATTTTCTAAATAAAACCCTAGAGCTAACAAAAGTAGGCGGAAGATGAAAACAAACATACCAGGATACCAAGTTTTCTGTAGGGTCAAATATTGTTCCAGATCCTACACAAGTAGAAACCCGAAAATCGAAGCTACTATGAAGGAAATGTGAGTTGCGCCGTCAAATCTGACGGCACCATTGTCGTCTGCCGTCTGATCAGCAGCGTCATCTGGCGAATCTGCCGGTGCGTCCGAATCTGCCGGTGCTGGTGCTGCCTTCTTCTTCTTACTCTTCGGTGATGCCGGTGCGTCGGCCGCAGCAGGCTCGGGTGCCGGTGCTGGAGATGGGGTGGGAGCCTCCGCCTTGAACAGCTCCGGGGGCAGCAAAACCTTGTTGATTGTGTATATTGCCAGAGGCTGCTCGTCGATTAGAGTACCGGTGATTTTCGCCGTCGTAACCTTGGTCTTCAGCGTTACCTCTTCGCCGTCGTTCTGCACCGTGAAGTCGTACTTGTTAGCTCCGTCGGTAGCCAACGTGTTTTGGAGTCCATTGTTGGACTTCAACATCGAAAGTGACTGGTACACCGGTACGCCGTGGTACAAGAGTAACGCTGTCTTTCCTGACGCTGTCAAGTTTTTGAACTTCGGCAAGAACGATTTGAACACATCATCCATCGGACAGAAAACCGTTAATCCGCCGTCCAAATTGTCCACATAGGTCTGTTCAGCATCGGAGGCCAAAAGCGTGTCGGCGAAAACTTTACATCCATGCTTGGACATAATAGCCGTGATATTTTGTTGACTGGGTGCTGGTGTAGGCGCTTCCGCTGCTCCAGACGGAAGAACATTGCTAATCTGAATTATAGAGATATTGTACGGAATCTCCTCCACAGATTTGACAAAATGCGCTGACAGAGTGCCGCCGTTGTTCTCCGCGCCGAACCCGACCTTGCCGCCTTTGAGATCCGTAATGTTTACGAATCCAGAGGATCCAGGAGCAGTCCCCGTGGCTTGAAACATCGTGGCGGCCAATGCAGTGCCGTTGGTGATCTGGTGGAGCTTCTTGGCCCCAAAGTAATCAAGAAGAACATGCAGGGAGAGAATGTTCTTAATTGTGTAAATTGAGAGGTGTTTAGCAAGCAGCTCGTTCATCGCGGCATTATCAACGGCGCAGACGGTGATGGTGGTCTTGCCGTTGATCTCCGGAGCCAAGTGTGTGAGGGTTAAGTAATGGTTAAAAGTAGAAAACTCCGGATGCTTGGCCAGAATGCGCGTGATGTTGTGCGCGTAAACGGCGGTTACAGAAACGATCAGCACCACGACGAGGACCAGAGTCCCTGCGTAATTCACCGGCCGGAGCAGCATTCTGGAAGAGCACGGCAGAGTGAGAAACCAGTGAACTGCAAGAAAGGGGAAGAAGAAAGCACGCTCACAGTAGTACAGTGGAGAAGAGAGAGAAAGCTACAAGGACAGGGCGTTTAGTAGTGAGGGACCACGGAAAAGGGCTTAGATTTAGAGATTATTACCGATTACCCACTCTTGTTGTCTCGTGAAGCATTAAAATGAGCTGGTCATATATATATAAAAAAATGTGTGGCGTAAGAAACACTATTTAATTGCGACATAAAAAATAAATATAAAAAAGAATAGAAAAATCTAAGGCACAGTGTTCCAGAAGGATCGAAGAAGATTTGGGATTAGAGTAACGATGGCGGTTGGAAGCTGATCACATGACTTGCTCGTTGCAGCATAGCATCTCTTGATCCTTGAACAACCTGCGTGACCAGTAAAGAATAAAGAAACATTTTCGGAAAGGATACTTTACTTTTATATATACGTATTTATAAATTATTTTTAACATATTTTATTTTTAAAATTTATTAAATTTATTTAACAATTTAATATTTTTAATTTATCTTTATTAAATATACATATTTTAATGATATAGTTTCACCCTTTAACATTTAATGGAGCATAAATAAAAAATTTATAAAAAATTTAATAAAATCACTCATAAATAAGATAAAAAAAAATTTTGCTCTACAGATGAAACTAGAGAGAGCATTGAGCTGCTTTTAATTTTATTTTTTGATTTTAATTAATTTAAGCCAATATTAAAAAGGGTTAAAGTTTATAGCGTGCACGATTGACGATGGCACAAGCATAGAATTGGAATCGGATTACCCCGCGCTGGAAAGTGAAAAGGGCATTTTAAGGTGGGGCTCTGTAATGGGGGATGATCGGGTGCGGGTGGTTGTAAAAAGTTTTATCCTAGCTATCAGTTATGGGCCAGTTAAAGAAAATTGGCTTTGGTAGGAGGACCTGGAAAATTAGAAATGGAGTGCATGTGGATGTAATTAAGCTCAAACTTGAGTTAAACGTTACTCCAGAGCATGAGGAATATGAATTTTCCTTATAAGTGGCTATTAGCAATATTAACAAAAATTGACTGATCATTGTCTATTCATCTAACCAATCAAAGTATTGATTCATAATTGAATGACTGGACTGTATTATAATTGAATCATTCAAATTGATTATAAATAAATTAATATATTTTTTATGATGAATGGCTTATAGTTTCAAAATACATATATGCATATTTTTTGCATGATTTTTTTTTTCCATGCTTATTTTGTATAGATAAATATAAATTTTGACTTAAGATATGAATTGAAATTTTTTAGAATAAAAATTTCAAGTGACCCGTTCAACCAATTTAATGATTGATTTTATTGGATTAAGGTTGGTTCAAATAGTTTTAAAGTAGTTCTTTGATCTCTCAAATCTTCTTGTGTCCACACTAAACACTGGACTAGTTTTTTATTGAATCAATTAGTTTAGTTCAATTCTTAGATCATTGCTACTAATATACACGTAAGAGAATGTAATTAAAAATTGTATGTCTTCATTACTCATAAATAATACTAGTTAAAATAATAGAAAAATCCTATTGAAATATGTAAATATTTTGTATAAATGTGATAATTCTTCTTGAGTCTCTTAAAACTTTTATAACATAAATATCTTTTGTGAAATGACTATAATGCTCTCAATTTAAAATAAACAAAGAAATGGGCAAAACAGATCTTATTATTCCTTATCCAATATTAGTCATTGCTTAAAAAAGTAGTCATTACTTAAATTAAAATAGTCACTAATATTTATAACACCTTGACTTTAGTAATTAAAATTTTACAAAGAGAAAGTTGTAATTAATTATCCTATTTTAGTCATTACCAGAAAAAAAAAAATCATTATTTAAACTAAAGTACTTACTGATATTCACAACACATGAACTTCAGTGATTAAAAATTTGTAGAGTCAAACTTGTCATTTACTATCCATTTTTAGTCATTTTTTAAAAAAGTAATTATTATTTAAATTAAAATAATCACTGGTTCTTTTAAAAAAATTAAAGACATTATAGTTATTTTATAAATGATATTAATGTCAGAAAAATCTCAAGTGATTTGAAAAGAATTATTACATTTTGTGAGATTTCATCATCATTTACATATTTTAAAAAAAAATTCTAACATTTTTCATAATACTATTGTTTTCTGTATTTAATTTTTAGAAGCTATTAGCAGTTTTAAGATCATTGAATACGAATAATATAGGCACATATAATAAAAAATATGAAAAAGTGACATAAAAGTCTCAAAACAATCCATTTATAACAGTTAGGTTAAAAATATTAATTTAAACAATTACAAGTTTAATAGTTTTAATTGTAAACAAGATAATCAAACTCTAAATATAACTTTTAATTTGTAATTGGCATTGGAACCAATTAATATTTACAATTTATTTTTTTAAAAATTATTGAAATCTAGTTATCATAATTTTTTTATTTTGAAACTTATTATCATTTTTCAAAACAATACACCCCATTCGTTCACTTTTATTAGTCACATTTTATAAGATTTTGTTGATCCTTCTTATAAGTTATTTTTTCTTAATTTTTTTAATATTTGATATGTAATTTTAAAACTACCTTCCAAGAAATTTTTTTAAAAAGTATAATATTTTAATTAAAAAAATTCACATGTGAAATTACTTTTTGTAAAGTAAGGATAAAATTAAAGATATTATTTTAACTACCTTATCTTAATTTTAATGAATTAATTAAAAGTGATTTATAAAAAGAATGAAAAGGAGCACTCCCCCAACATATATTTTAAAAAATTTATTTAATCTCATTTATAAATCACGATGTAATTTTTTAAATAATATTTAAAAAATATTTTTAAAAATATCTTTTATAAAAAAATAATATGATATTATTTTTATTTTTTATATTTTTTTACATTAATATTAACGAGGATAATAAAAATAATTTATAAAAAGAATTAAAACATTATAAAAGAATCTTTGAATGGAATTGGAATAATGAGACAACGCGGCAAAGAAGGCGAGACAATGTAATGTGGCTACAGACCAGGAAGGTTGAACGGTCAACGCCGGTGACACGTGGATGATGGAAACGGGGCATTAACAACGGACCGTTAAAATCTTCCACCGACAGGCGACAACTCTGGCACAGTGTTCAACTACCGTTCACTCGTCCATAAAATGTGATACGTAACATGCTCCTGTAATGGTTTTTTTTTTTTTTTGGCCTTAGCTTCTGTAAATTTTTTATTAGCGTCCAATTCATCTTCAACCATATAATTTATTTACAAGAATTCAACGATACAATACTCCGTTGCAGTCAAAATATGTTTACCGAGTTATTAAACATACTGTTTTTATCACATTACACCAATTTAGTTTAATTCTTAATTCATGTCAAACCTTACTTACCTTGGATTTAAATTTGGTGATTGGCTTAAATATATTTAATCAATTAACATATCAATTATACATATTATATTTATTCAATACCTGAAAATTAAAAATACATTTTTTGTTCAAAAATTTAAAACAAACATTACAATCAAGGCACTTCTAACCTATGATACACATATATAATATGTGAATTGATAAGATATGTATTTAATATGTGTATGCACACATGTGTGTGTGAAAAGTTTTTGCTACAGATAATTCTCTACTTAAAGTTTACATGTTAAAAGATTATATTCATATGTTTTATGGTTAAGAAAATTTAATTGTCAACTTTAAAAGCAAATTACATCAATATATTAGAAATAACAAAAGATTAATGTGGCAATATTTAGCAAAATTAGATTTCTTAAAAATATTGAAGCATCAACTTTGAAATATTGACTTGTAATTTAAAAGTATTAAATGTGTATCAACAATTAATCTTTTAATTTTAAAAATTTTCAATATTTTATGAATATGTGTCAAAAAAGTATTAGTTACTGATACTAATATGTAAACAATTTGAAATTTCAGTACTTTATAATTTCTAACATATGCTACCGCCCTAAAAAATGATTAAAATTTGATTTTTTTTTTAGTATTATGTAAAAAAAGTTATTACAAATGCTCGATTCAATCAAAATTTTATTATCATATCTTACAAAAGACTTATTAAATGAATAGATCTAAACCTCTCATCAAATTTAAATTCCCTTGGCTCGACCAGTGGCAAGCCAAGATCCTTGAGTGAGTGAGGGAGTGCAAAATCTTAAAGCTCAAGAATTAGAGGGTAAAATATTAAAACTTAAAAGTAAATATGTTAAAATTTTAAGGGCATGGATAGGAGTTAGAACGAACGTTACAAAACTTTGCATCAATTATTCTGTTAGCTTTACTTAATTATTAATTTATTTAACCAACTTCTCTATTCTTAAACTAAGATTCATAAATAAAAATTACAAAGATGGAAAGAATAAATTTTGCCGACAACCACCGGCAAATATTTATGCAAATTAAAATGCCTCTTCATGTTACATCTGGTCACAAATCGTATGACCCACGAAATAAAATAAATATAAAATTAAAAGAAGTGACGAATTAAAAACAACGGCAGTACTTATTTTTATCACCGATCATGTGATGTTAGTTGGAAATGTATAGCCGTGGCTTTTGTTTCAATTGAGGGAGAAATTTTAAAAGGAAAAAAGAAAAGAAAGAAGACAATTGGTTGATGATGGAGACAAGAAAGGGTCAATAATAAAATAGGGAGGGTTGGTTGTCGAAAATAGAATTCGCAGCAATTACCGGAAAGAGTAGAAATATAGAATAGACGTTGGCCTATAAATTCTTGTGCACGTGCCAATGACAAAGCAATATAATTTTCAAATTATAATTTTAACCGAAAAGATCAAAATGACCATTCGTGTACAAATCATAATATCTTTCCCCGGGGCAATAAGATCTCGAGCCTTTTTTTTTTGGCCGGTGAAATAACATCTCAAATGTGAGTTAAATAATTGTGTGAAAAAATTATTTTGGAAAGAGCTTAACACTTATTCGATCTAACCCAACTAAATTTTATTAGCTTATCATGACAAGACTTCTAAAACTTTATTGGGTGTGTTTGGATTTTAATTGGAAAAAATTGATTAAGAAAAAAATTGATTATTAGAATGTGATGGTGTTTGGATAAATTTTCAAAA